GATTAAAAATAGACAACCAAAAGGGCACTGAAGAAAATTCATCACTGTGCATGGATCTTTCAGATGAAGGTATTTTTAAATTCTTAAGTTTTTCATCTGTTGTTTATTACTTAATTATTATTTGTTTGACTGATAGCCTGCTGTCCTTCTGGAAGTCAACACTGCAGTCCTTCTTCCAATTTTTTGCCATAACAATATTGTGAGAGTAACTGCCCCCAAGTCACTCAGTGAGCTTCCTAAGTGTACGCTAGAACTTTTTCCACTATGTGCATACACCTTTCTTGCATGCCACAATGTATGCCCCTTTTTTATGAAATTAGTACTTTCTGTTACAAATTAGAATAGGTACACTACTGACTTTCAGACAGCTGTACCCACACTACCTTCTTTTGAAGCTAGGAAGCTTAGCCCTCTCTACCTCATGGATGTGAACAAAAAAGCCTTTCATGTTGCACCATCCTAGCTGAAAGGTTATGTTGCCATGAAATGGTCCATATAAATAGGCTTCTCACTGAACTATGAAATATATAAACATTGCACTTTTGCTGTGTGGGATGGATTGTTATGGGCCCTTAGATAGGTGTGTCCACATTCTTAGGTGAATCGTTCAGCTGGAGCTCCCATCCAAACATTAATTGTCAGTTAAAAAGCTAATGACTAAATTTAAAGGTTCAGAGTTTTTCCAATATCTGGAGATTGCACACCAAAAGTTGCTTGGGCACGGGAACTGCTTCAGAGGCAGAACACAGACAGCAAGTTGTGTCAGTATTATGGTTAGCAGAATTGGGCTGAAAAATCTAGAGACCTGCTAGATGGCAGCAAAAAGCATGAATTTGTTCTTTCTTTCCTTGCCGCAATTAATTGGCTGCTGGGGAACAGTCCACTTCTGCATATTGCTCTGTCTCTGCTCAGCATGTCATTGTAGGCAAATGCCTACATGACTTCATGGGTCCATTCTAGTTTTGTAGCAGATCTGATTCTTTTAGAGACTAAAGACTCAGCCAAGAGTTCATGTTTACAGGCTCCAAGACACCATTACATTTGCTTTATATTAGCAAGTGTATTGTTATAATTTATAGATTTCTTGTTGAATTTTATTGATGTTCAGAAATGGATTTTAAAATGTATGATTCTGATTTTCCGGGTATCCTTTCTGTCTGTTTTTGATAGCACACATAATACTTATTAATATGAATCTCCGTGAATCTGGTATGTCTTCTTTGAACTTTTTTTATTTGGAAATTTAAAAATTTGTTTACCATTCTTTAACTAAGCTAATTGTATCTTTGAAATGATGAGTCAAGTTTAAAAGATGACTAATGTAATACATTGTTCTGTGACAGAAAAAAAGAGATCTTATGACATATTAAAGGCTAACATAGTTGTGTAGTTGGACCTAAATTATCATCATAAAATATCTTCTTGGCTATGAATCCTGAGAATTTCATCCAAATTATTTTGAAGGCACATAACCTGGGAAGACTGACATAAACTTTTGCCACATGTTGAACTGAATGGTTATGCAGAAAATGCCCCCCAAAAAACTGTTAATTTGTAGAATGCCAAATGTTTTCCTTTATTTTAATAAGCATTTGGTGCTTCATGTTTTACTTTTTGTTTTAATATTTTACCTAGTTCTTTCTAATATGACCTAGGGCCATGATGGGGAACCTATGGCTCTTATTAGGAGCCTGGGGAGAGTGAAAAACGAGCCTTCTTGTCCCACCGGAAGTTGGTAAAGGGCCGTTTCCAGCCTCCGGAGGGACTCCGGGGGAGTGGGGAAAGCCGTTTTCGCCCTTCTCAGGCTCCTAGAAAGCCTCTGGAGCCTGGGGAGGGCAAAAAAACCAGGCCTATGGGGCCCACTGTGCCATCGCTTGCCAAAAGCGGGGGGAGCGCAGGGGGAGTTGCACATGCATGCATGGGAGGGAGGGGCGCATTGAATTGGGCACGCACGTGCACAACCCCTCCACACTCCCCCCCGCTTTTCGCATGCGATGGCTTAAATGTTAGCCATCACTGACCTAGGGGCATACCACTGTTTAACAATTGGATTGCAGTTGTGACATGCTTCTGTTCCAGTTTTGTTATATGATAATATTATTTTCTACTGTGTCCATTCAATTGATTTTTATTATTACACACTGAACCTTCCATCTCAGGAAATGCAAATCACTCCCTCCCAAGGGAACATTGGAAAGTAATTATGAAAATAGAACCAGAATAACAATAGCACTTAGACTTATATACCACTTGATAGTGCTTTACAACCAGTTGATTCAAATTTTTTTACTACTGGTTCTGTGGGCATGGCTTGGTGGGCGTGGCATGGCTTAGTGGCTATGGCATGGCTTGGTGGGTCTGGCAGGGAAGGATACTGTAAAATCTCACCCCACTCCAGGGGAAGGTTACTGCAAACTCCCCATTTCCTCCCGATCAGCTGGGACTCAGGAGGCAGAAAATAGATGGGTAGTCAGAAGTGGTATTTACTGGTTCTCCAAACTACTCAAAATTTCTGCTACCGGTTCTTCAGAACTGGTCAGAACCTAATGAATACTACCTCTGTTTACAACCCTCTCTAAGCTGTTTACATTGTCAACATATTGCCCCCAACAATCTGTGTCCTCATTTTACTGACTTCAGAAGGATGGAAGGCTGAATCAACTTTGGGCTGATCAGAACCGAACTGCTGGCAGTCAGCAGAGTTAGCCTCCAATACTGCATTCTAATCACTGCATCACCATAGCTGTTCAAGGAAAGAGAATGCCATCTAAGTGTCTATAACTGTCCATATCCATAAGGATAACTTTCCAAAAAGGGAATAGAACCAAATTTGTTATGGTGGAAAAAGTGGGTAACAGTAAGATTAAAAAAGATCTGAATCTGTCTTGAGCTTTTAGAGAAAAACATTTCACTAAAATGTTCCCCAATGCATCCATATTGGGGGGGGGGGGGGCTGGCAAAGGCCTGGAATGCTATTTTAGAAAGTAAAGAAGATGACCTTGAGAGGAGCTGTTGCCTGGGCAAAAATACCAAAGTCTACAACAGCCAGATAACATTTGAAAGTGACTGAGGTAAATATAGAGTATAGAAATGAGACTTGCAATATTCTGTTATTATAGCCAATCAAAAAAAAAAAAAAGCAATTTTAGCTTTCTTGTGGAATTGATTTCCTGTCTGGTCCACCTATAGTGGGACTGACAGGTCCAATCTAATCCCCCAATCCTGCTCCCTCTTGGTCTACTGACCTAGAGTCTGCCAGGATTCTGCTAAGGAGTTGGGAAGAATTCCAGAAACATTGCTCTACATGCTTCACTTCAGTTCATCCCTTTTAAGCCTCACCTTGACTGTTGCAACTTGTCGTATTTGCTTTGTTCCATCTTCATGCCTTCCATCTCTCACCCCCAACTCGAAATTTAGGGGCAGAGGTTTTTTGTTTTCTATTCCATTCATGCTTATCCTATGTATCTTCAATCTGGCATTTGGATTACTACACCCTTGGGATTAAATGTATCTCTGTAAGAAGGTTCGGTGCAAATTTGAAAGTAGCTGTTCATCTAATAACATCAGCAATGTATGAGGCTTGAACTAATTTATTTTTGGATCAGCTACAAAGTATTTGCAGCAAAGCTAGTAGTGTTTTTTGTTTCCAGTGGTTGAAGTACTGGGTTTATAGATAGTCTGGTTTTTCCATTGGCAGCAACTCTGCCTTCATCCCCCCTTCTTCTCCATTCAAGGTACCCATCATTCTTTCCTTTTCTGTCTCCTCAAAGTCACATTCCAAAGCAGATTTCAACTTGTAGAGAAAAATATCCCACATTCTCTTCCTTCAGACTTTTCTTTTTTTAAAAAAAAATAGTTGAGTAACCTGTTGGCTCTTTGATCCTGAGGTACAACTTCAAAAGTTGTTTTTCAATTAAGAAAATTTTGCTCTCTTATAAAATCTGTTTCAAATCCAATCAATTCTTGATCGTTTTCATGGACACAACCCTGTATTTTTCTTGGCAACAATACAGAAATGATTTGTCACTACTTCTTTGGGGATGTTTTTTTCAAATTCCCAGTTTTGCTGAGAGCCATTTATTTTCCTAAGTCTGACCTTGCTTATCTTTTTGAGGCCAGACACTTTCACCTAGACAGTGTTTCACAACCTAGGCAACTTTTAAGATGTGTGGACTTCAACTCCCAAAACTTTGGGAATTGAAGTTCACACATCTTATAGTTGCTGAGGTTGAGAAACACTTTTCTAGATGAAAGTATCTGGTCTCAAAAAGATAAGCAGAGTCAGATATAGGAAAATAGATACTGCTATACCCATCTGAGTTTAATCATATTACAAACATACAATTTATGCCTTTTTAGCAAAGGCCAGTTTTTCACTAGTGATTTCTACAATTATCCATGTTTCATAAATCTCGATCACCTTAATAAATTCCTAATGAATATGCCAAATGGAAAATTTGGGAATGGGTCCTAATATATTTGAGGGGCATGAAAATAGTAAAGACCAAGGTACACATATCTACATTGCCATCAGACATAGGACTTCCTTCCTGTATTAGTAATCTTTCTCCCTCTGTGAAAATGTATTGCTGTTGATGTTTTAGATGGTATATTAGCAACCCAGAGTGTCATTAGATAGATAGGCAGTCTTATTTTATTTAATCATAAATAAATAATGAATAATGAATCAACTTAAGCTTACGGATCATTGATATTGATTTGCTCTGGCTCAGCTCAAAGGCACAGAGAAATGATTGACTGCTTCAGACTCAAATAGTTTCCCCAGTAAAAGGTTTGTTGGCAATACAGCTACATACTGTAGTCTGTTGTGGGGTCATGGGAATATTCTCTGTTCCTTGCTCTTGTGTGTCTCCAATACAACCATTGCTGCCGTTTTACTTGGTATGATTATCACATGAAATCTGATGTTTTACCTATCTTGAATTTTCTTCCTAGAAACTACTTACAGAATAAAGTTAACCATATGAATGAACAGGATGCATGTTAAGACTTTTTTTATTGAGCTTTGTATATGAAATTATTTGACAATTTAAAATTTCAATGCAAAACATTAAAAAAATAAATTCAATGTTAGAGTTTAAAAAAAATTGCACAACCCCAAAATTCACTTGCATTTACTGTAATTTAACCAATGACCATATCACTATGGAATTTACAGGAAAACAGTATGTACAGATAAATAGAGCATTATGTCACATTTTATTTTCATATAACATTGGAAATACAGATTTAACCCACAGTGCCAAAATGGAAGATGTTGTACAAGAGCACACACCAGGAAACGTTTAATTTTACACTGTAATCCCAATAATAATCTTCCAAAACGTTTTGTTGGTATTTTGCCATGAACAGTTTTCTCCTCTATTAGTTGCAGATCTTCAGAAAGCCACTGTGCAATAGAAGAGCATGTTCTCATAAATATAACATTAATATTCTAATTATGAGATAAAATTTGCAATTCCATGTTATTTACATCCTTTAATATAGTTTATACAAGCAGAAGATACATATAGCTCTTTTTCCTACTGAAATGGGTTTTACTGAGCAGAGCAGTTCCAAAGTAATAGTGGTAGTAGGAACTTCTGTGGTAGAGAAAGTGTCCCCTTTTAAGCACAAATGATAGTGGTTATGATAAAAAAAAGGCATATTTGGACTCTTTAAAAATATATCTCTTCCATTGACATAAAAGAGAGCTAAAATAAGCATATTTGCTCCAGAGCTGAAGTACCTTTTCAGCTTAACTAGGATATACAAGGAAAGAAGCAAGTTTTTGATTGAAAAGATCCCACACTATGCTCCAGAATGCCAATGGTAGCATGCCAATTTGGGCCACTCTGTCCACAAGCACTACATGTAGTTATGGTAACAAAGCTTTCTGCCTGATAGACACCAAGGAAACATTGCTCATAGAGGAAGAATTAAATTGACCTCAACATACAACAATTATACTGTACTTTCACAAGAAAACCAGAAGTAGCATGTCACTAGAAGTGTTAGAACCTGAGAAGCCAGACAGATAAACTACACATTACATATTGACATATACTGGTTGCCTCCTCTCTTTGCTTTCTCTGCTCTTTCTGGAAATATTTCTTAAAAGAAACTTATGCATGACCCTACAGTATAGAAGGGAATAAGTGGCTCTTCAGCCTGATCAGACAGAGGATCGTATGTCCATAACCTACTTTTTAAAGGCTGTGTTGATACAATAGGTTGCGGTTTCTTCAGCTTTGATCTACCAATAAAGCATATCTTGATTGGGTTATGGATATAACCAAAGCAATAAAGCTTTACAAACTGAACCGGTGGAATTCACACCACATATTAAGCCACAAGCAAATTCTATTATGGCTTTTATGTCTTAAAAGTATAAATTTTGATTCGTGGCTAACACAAGATTAGAAGTGAAACAGTTTTGATGTTTATATGTTTACATTTTTAAAGATTAATGGTGCAACATTTTTAATGAGCAGCTGATTAACCACTCAGTCAAATACTCAATATGTAGAATATTCATGTAAATCATTTGCTATGAATCTTTTTAAATAGATGGGTCTTGTTCAATCTACCTAATATAAAGCACCTTCCTGCTGTTACAAAAATGTCCAGTAGAAGAGAAGGAATGGGGTAAAAGACCTATCAGAGTACTTGAGAAGTAAATTTTCTCAGTAACTTTATTTTCACAATAAAGTTGTCCACAATTAAATTAATTATAATTTATGCAATTAGCTTAATTTTCTAGGTTTACACATGTTTAACCACAAAGTTTCGATTTACGCAGTACCACAAGGCACATGTTGTATAAACTCAGTCATATTCTTCAATGCCTTAAAGTTTTCAAAGATGATTAAGTTCATTGATTAATTTATTTCATTTCTATCCTGTTTTTTCCCCTTAGGAACTCAACTTTCCATATACAGTAGTCCTTCTGCCAATTCTTGTCTACATCAGTAAACATTAGACTAGGTAGAGCTTAAACAAATAAACCCCAAATCACCCAGTAAACCTCTATGGCTGAGTGTAGTTTTGAACTGGTCAGGGGAAAAAAATTCCTTGTTTTCCCCTTGGATTGTATTCTGTGATACTGTAGAGCACTTGTGATCAGGATGGGAAAATGACACAATTGGCTATAAAGTCACAGCCTTCATTTCTTATTTCCAGGCAGGGCTGGAAAAAATATGACTTGCTACAATACAGCTTACAGTGTAGGAATTTTATTACATTCCAGAGAGCAATGGAAGGCAAGGCTAAGCTTTCACCATTATGTGGAAAGTATTTAATGAAGTTTAAACCCTGATAAAGTCCATTTCTAGACTCTTTTATCCCTAATTTCTCAGATTTCCTAACAGCTAGTTTTGATAATGGTTGGGTTCACATATTACACTAAAGCTATTATTTGCTGTAACGACAGTTTATTGAACAAGTCACCATAGCTAAGTTTAAATATCACACTGAATCACAAAACATAACAGACCACAATGGCTGAAATCACACATTTGGAATGGGACAACTCACCAGTTAATTCACCATGGCCAATACACCACGGCCAACTCACCACAGCCATCTCACCGCGGGACAATTTGCCATGGTCAACTCGCCACAGGACAGCTCGCTGTGGGATAATTCAACAATTCAATTTAATTATTTAAAATAATTTTTAAAAGATTGTAATTTTTGTCATTCACATTTCATTTTGCCCTTCCTTTGGCATCCTTTCCTTAACGATCCTATTCCATTATTTCGTCAATGTTAGTGTAACTCATGTCTCATGGCAAGCTGTCCTGCAGCAAGCTGGCCAAGGAAAATTGGCTGCAGCAAGTTGACTGCAGTGAGTTGGCCATGACAAGTTGGTGGTGGCGAGTTGACCATGGTGAGTTGGCCATGGCAAGTTAGTGATGGCAAGTTGACCGTGGCTGTGGTGAGTTGGCCATGGCAAGTTATCGTAGACCCCACACATTCCATTCAATCAAAAGTAAATTGAACTTATTATGACTTAGTGTGATTTGGAAATCCAGCCATTAAGAAGCTTCTTATACAGCTAAGCTTAGATTTCTAGTATTGGTCGCATTATATACAGCATCTGTTTTTAATGCCTGTAGTGGCACAGATTCCATCCTACCCCTGCCAGGTTTAATTTACATCCCCTGGATGTGCCTTTAATTTTATTCAATCTGTCTCTGCATTAGAAAGCAGGGAGAAATCTGTGAAAGTCACTTTGCTCTGCTACTACCCTGTTTTCCCCAAAATAAGACATCCCCTGATAATAAGCCCAATCGGGCTTTTGAGCGCATGGCAATAAGGCCAAGCACTTATTTCAGGGTTCAAAAAAATATAAGACAGGGTCTTATTTTTGGGGAAACATGGTAGTTGGTCATGTATTTATGCAGTTTTCAATAAAAAGGAAAGGTGTTGATCATTCCATTAGTATTTGTTGGATGGCGACCTCAAATTTGAATCTATCAATTCTCCTGTCTTGGACCCATCAGGAATTGTATTATCAGCACAGCATCAAATTCAGTGCAAGTTTTCTTAATATTTTTTGACAGAAGGGGAAGGTAGGGGAATTGTCCACCACTCAAATTTTTATGTAAGACTGGGAACAGGGCTATCCTAGGATGCATGTAGCCCAATCTTGTACCTTATTTCATTATTACTTGCAACATCATTGTGCTTTGTTTTCCAGCCTGCACTGTGTTCTCACCCTTTTTTCTTCATTCCCAGGAAGAGGCCTCTGACCTTTTATGCAACTCTCACCCACAGATTTTCTCAGCTTCTCAAACATGCCAGTCACACCAAAACAAGTACACCCACTGATGTGAAAATGAGGGCCTGCCAATATCAGAATGGAGAGGCCCTTGTAGATTTAGTAGGGCCAACATTTTGTTAGAATTATCAGGATTTCTTCGCTGCCATTTAGTGATTGACCAGATTTTTGTATTCCAGATCTCCCCAGATGTTTATTTTCTAGCAACAACTCACTCCCTCAGCATGATAGAAAAGACTATTACAATGTTCTCTATATGGGGCTGCCTCTGAAGACCACAACTGGTATGCAATCCAACAGCTTGCCTGTTGGCAAATGAGAGCCATTATAATCAAATGACACCAGTGCTGCACAGTGATAGACTTCTGTGTAGAATTCAAAGTGCCATTCTAAAACTCTACAAGGATAGGCACTCAGGAAGCTCCAGGACCATCTCTTTCAAGTCAAATCTACCCAGTCTATATGGCCTGAGTATGGATACTGAAGTTTGGTGGGGGGGGAAGGGGAGGGGGGCAGGATCCAATGATCCCAACCTATTTCTTAACTTCATGCACCTTGAATAGCTTTCCTCCAGGAATATAAGTAGCCCTTTTCTCTCAGGATATTTAGAGATCTATTAAAAGTGAACTTTTTGTAGAGTCTGTAACTATTTAGATGGTTCTCAGATGAGGAACACTAAGTAGCTGCAATTTTATTAGTTGTACTTTTATATATTTTAGCTCTATATATATTTAACTGGATTATTACGAAGTGCCAGTGATTGTGATTGGTGGCCTATAACAATAATAGCTCAATAACTATTACAAAGTTCTGCATTGCATTGAGAAATTTAATCTTAGGCAGGACTAGCTGCATTTTTAAAAATATTATTAACACATTGTCCTGTCTTGGTTGACTTAACTGGAGGTAACAATTCTAGATGGATAGCGCTAGCCTCTAATTTCATTTCTTACAACACCCCAAAATGATGCTGACTGGGAGAACTGTAAAGATATGAAAATAGCAGCAGAATAACTATGCCTGTAGTGATGAACTAATAAATATTTAAGAGAGTCTAGCACAGGCATACTAGATGGGTTCTCCTGAAGCATTAAAAAGTGCCAGTCTTACATATTAATACCAATCACGATATTAACTCTTGAAAACTGAATTGTGGCAGACAAGATAGTATTGTACAGCAGATCAATTATTCTCTGTAACTATATTATTTTAATTTCTATTTTTAGGTGGGTAGATTAAAAGGACAATTGAGAGACATCAGATTTATTTTCATGAAATCTATAATGTCTTTTATAATGGCCTCCTTATAGATCTGTTAGAGAGTATACTGTATGTATGGAAGCTTTGATTTAAGGTCTGCTATGATCCATGGCTATTTTGCAGATGTTTGTCTGAGAATTCCTTTTTAAATACATAACAATACTTATTTTGTTATGTAGCATTTTAAATTAATAAATACAAATGTACAAATTGTAGCATTTAATTAGGCTCTATGCTTGGAAATGGGACCAGAAAAAAATAATTATTTCTTGCTACACAAATCCCCAACAAAGTCATAGGCATATTATTATGGGAGTCATATTCAAGCAAGGGCAAAACAAATTTCTCAACTAAAGCAGATGGCATCCACTCCCACAAAACAAAATAGTACCTGCTCTGCATTTACTGATGTTGCTCAGGTATGTTTTGCAGCTAGTTTTGAAATTTGTTAACAAATGCAATCTACATTTGAACTTTCGCCCTGAGAACTGATGTAAAATGGTTGTAAGACCAATGGAAAGGTTTATGTAATGCAGTATAATCTCTAGAAGGCATTTAAATAGTTCCTGTCTGTATCTTACACTTGTGAAAAATACTTGCTAGCATTATTTACAGGTGCAATTTTGAATATGTTCTGGAGACTTGGCTTCAAAAAAAAGTTGGACTGAAATTGAATGCTATAAACCAACTTAGTCTTCCAGGGTTTCTAGACAAGCTCATCATTTACAACCAGCATTCCTGGTGGCCAAGAATGATGAAAGCAGTAATTATAGTTTAAAGAAACAGAATTTCCATGCCTCTGGTTAGGAAATGTGGGCTGTGATCATATATGAACTGCTGAAAATGAAATAAAAACAAGGGGTAGGCAGAGATTTTAAAAAGGAAAGAGAAACATTACTAAGTTTGCGAAAAAGTATTCACCTCTTTCAGATTAGCTGAAAGATTTGCATATCTGTGCCACTGAATGTTATCAGGATTTCATGTGTGTCCTACTGACATATAAAAGGAGTCTAAATGAGCAAATACCTGTTGCCTGTTTCATAAATCAGATTCATTTATCATTTTACCATGCTTTTTAGAAGAGTAACTAAGCATCGTATACATGTTAGGAGCAGGGAGACCTTGATTTAAGTCCATAGTCAATTGCCAAATGTCATTAGATAACTTTGGATGCAGCAGTCATCCTAATCTATCTCATGAATTTTTACTTTTGATACAAGATTGGAAGATGGAGTACTAAAAATCATACCAAGACTGTTGTACATGTTACTTAGGGCTTTTACTGAATATGACGATCATGATGTTAAACACTTATTGTTCAGTCTCAGTTTGGGTGAATATTACTTTTGTATAATTTTATGTGATGATGCAAGCAATTTTCAATGGACAGTGCTGGTACCATAAATTAATTAAAGCTCCCCAACAGATTGAATAATATAAAGTCACATTTTTACCAGATTTCATGTACAGTCATTTGAAATCTTATACAACCTTATGTAAAAAAAAAAAAACCCACTAGTTCTTCTGACATTTTAGTTTTTAAAAAGTTTAAAATAATTTTGTAATTGGGTGCAGCAACTCTGACTTTAAAGACATAGAAGCTAGCTAAAGGATCGACTTTCCTTTAAACGCCTACCTGGTTAAGATCTGCAAAAAAAGGCCCTTTGGGCAAAGCTGTGATTATTGGGAACATGGGAAATTATTTTATTCTGCATTACCTGAGGCATTGTGGAATGCTATGATTAATCGCAACTCTCTTGGCTTTCCAGTAATGCTAGTAGTGGTTTTAATAGTGCTTTTTAGCATAGTGGTTCTGAACCTCAAAAACATTAAAATGTGTGGACTTCAACTTCCAGAACTGTCCACATATCTTAAATTTGATAAGGTTGAGAATCATCGATTTAATATATTCATTGTTTTAAAGTTTTTGTTATATTTGGCTTTAGTTGGTTTTCTTTGATGTTACATAATACCTTAGTGATATTTGCTGAAGAGTTGCATAAATATTCTAATAAATGAAATAATGACTTGAGAATCTGTTTGCGCACCATGTTCTATCAGCTGCTTTCTTTACAGGTTTTCTTCCTTTACTTGATTAATGATTGATTGGTTATTACTTCAATGGGATAATTTGTTTACTTAGAAAATGCTGAAGATGTCATTTATTTCTGCTGATATTTACAGCAATGTTATTAATAATACGAATTCTACATAGTAAAATGATACTACATGTAGTCCGCAACTTAACGATCACTGGAACTTCTGCTGCTAAGTGATGTGGTCATTGTAAGTCATGCCTAACTTTACAATCTTTTTTTTTTTTGCTATGGTCATTAAACAAATCATATGGTTATTAAGCCAATGTTGCTTCCTCCATTTGCTTTGGTTGTTATCTGCTGGGAAGGTTACAAATGACAATCACATGGCCTCAGGATACTGCAACCATTGTCAGTACATGCTGGTTGCCAAGCGCTTGAATTTTGATTGTCACTTTACGTCATTGTAACTTTGAATGGTTTTAAACAAATGATTGTATGTTGAGGACTGCCTGTATTACAAAATTGTGGTTGTGGTTGATGTTATGCTATGCTAGATTTTGCCTCGGTCATTATTCGTATTGGAATAATGACCGAGTAATTACATTTCTTATAGTTAGTCCTCAACATACAATCATTGGCTTACAATAGTTCATTTAGCGACCATTCAGAGTTACAATGGCACTGAAAACAGTGACTTATGACCATTTTTCATAGTTACGACCTTTGAAGTATCGCCATGGCATCAAACTTCAGATGCTTGGCAATAGGTTCATACTTATGACCGTTGCTGTGTCCCAGGGTTGTGTGATCTCCTTTTGCGATCTTCCGACAAACAAAGTCAATAGGGAAGCCAGATTCACTTAACAACCATGTCACTAACTTAACAACTGCAGTGATTCACTTAACAACTGTGGCAAGAAAGGTCGTAAAATGGGGCAAAACTCACTTAACAAATTTCTCACTTTGCAACATAAATTTTGGTTGTAAATTGAGGACTACCTGTATTTTGTGACTCCTAGATTTTGTGATCTTTAAATGTTCCACACTTTTTTTTTTGATTCTGTCCTCTACTGAATTGCCTCATTAATAGCAGACATATCTGACCATTTTAATGGTTATGCACCTTGCTGTGCAGTAAATCCACCCCCCCCTCTTTTCTATTCCATGATGGGAAGGTAGTCAATCTATTTGACATCAGGTATATGGGGACTTTGGGTTTTGATAAGAGAACACTGAGTGGTTACCGATAAAGTATCATTTGGAAAGATCCAAAGACAAATAGAACATACACTTCCCCTCAACAATAATAGTTCCTTAAATTGCTACTTTCTAGCCAGACCCAGATTGTTGGGGCAATATGCTGATTCTGTAAACCACTTAGAGCTGTAAAGCATTGTGAAGTGGTATATAAGTCTAAGTGCTACTGCTACTTTCACCCTAGTTAAGAAACAAAAATGTGCAAAAAAATGTCCTGACTGAAATATTCCAGTCTTAATACAAATTATTTTAAATGTACCAAAAATATACTCATAAATTGTCTGTGCAAAATGCCAATTCCAACCTCTATTCTGATATTGGAACATTTCAACCATGTAGTGTTTTGCTCTTATTTCTTGTTCAATATATTCCTATGGCACAACTTATTACTTCCACTTATAAATCAGCATTGCAGGCTAGAATAAATGGCGCTTTTGAGTGAATACCTCATTATATAGTCACAGTATCTCATTTATGGCATTTTATGAAGTCCTGATGACATCCTCTGCCATTTATATTCCTCCCATGTCTTCCTTCTCCTTTCCATTTAAAAAAAAAATTAGCTAGAGAAAAGTGATTACAGAGGAAAGATAACTGCAACTATTTGATCGGGATTGCCAAGAACCATCCCTCAGAAAGTATACCTTGCAAAAGAAACCCCATCTACCTATAAAAGGTTACAGAGTTATGCCTTGAATAATGCTACGGCAAGATAAACAAATCTCTATGGCTTTTGCTCCCTCTCCTTGCAGCTGCAAGGCACCAGGCTCCGCTTGTTTCAATGAAGCATGTGTTCAACTACGGCTCAGCTGACCGTAGCCATATGTTATCGCTGAAAACATTTAGTAATGGAGTTCATTTTCATTAAAGCAGTAAGATATAATCCTGAAAGTCACTCTTAAAATTTAGACTGTGATTTAACAAAGTGCCCCTGATCCTTCTTGAATTGATGATAAGTCTATGGAGGTTAAGCAATTCCCAGGTTCTCTTTTATTACAACATTCTACAGGAATAAAAAAAAAATTATATACACTGCAATCCTCAGGTTCTTACCGAGCCTTTTTCTACCTAGGGATGGCATCTTCTACAATTATCCAACCATTATTTTGTCAAATAACTGGAACAAGGACAAGCTTTATTTTACCTCAATAAAGGCGATTCCAGAAGGTCATTAATGAAGAACTGGCCTTTTTCCCATTGAACAAAATAGGATTAACTTTTCTGTAAACATGCAGTGAACTGCATAGACACTACACTATTTAGGAAGAAATACATATTTTATAAGAAAAAGGTGATTCCAGCTAAGTCTAGCCATAAATACATACATGCCTGTTGATTTTGGTTTCCTTATTTAAATAAAGGCTTTAAAACAAGGCACACATTTTTGAGCTTATTGTTCAAATTCCTTTGGGGATTCATTTAACTATGATTTCTCCTTGTATACAAAGACTAAAATAATTGGTATATCTTTTTATAACAAATATATCACTTTATAAATAACAGTTTACATGAACAAAAATTCATTAAAAATAACACAGAATGATGATTCATTTCACATTACTGTATAGCCTACAATAAATTGGTATAAAACAGTCAATGCATATGGAATGCTTATTAGCTGTTCAATGTAAACAGGTAGTCCTTGACTTACAGCAGTCCATTTAGTGACCGTTCAAAGTTACAACAGCACTGAAAAAAGTGACATATGACCATTTTTCACAGTTACAATCTTCGCAGCATCCCCATATCACGTGATCAAAATTCAGTCTGCGTGGCAACTGGTTCATGCTTATGCATGTCCTGGGATCATGTGATCATCTTCTTTTGCAACCTTCTGACAAGCAAAAGTCAAAGGGGAAGACAGATTCACTTAACAACCAGGTTACTCACTTATCAGCTGCAGTTATTCACTTAACAAATGTGGCCAGAAATTTCATAAAATGGGACAAAATTCGCTTAACAAATGTCTCACTTAACAACAGAAATTTTGGGCTCAATTGTAGTCGTAAATCGAGGACTACCTGTAGTAAAGTTCCAGTTATCAAAGCTTGCATGAGAAGGCAGATATACCATCCAAACAATTGAACACCTTTTCCTTAGCTGTGATCATATTTGTAATATTGCATTTGGTTTCTGTTACAATATAAAAGATGTTCATTTCTGTATAATACTCTTGTCAAAACACACAGAAAGTCAGAGCTAAATATTAACATAGTGAGCATAAGAGGGAAGACCATCCTTCAGTTCTGTGCATGATGCTATAGTATAATTAGTTACTTCTTCCTGATGTCTTTGATTCTTTTTTTATAAATAGTTTAAAGGTTGATGGAGTTCTGTGGCACTTACTGAGCCATCTTCTGTTATCTGTTGAGTAGAATAAATTAGAGCATTTATTATATATTCAAGCAGTGAACGATGACACATTTGTAAAGGCAGAACAAAATCCCCTTTGCATAATTATTGTGATAAGGAATAATTACATTTTCATTCTCTAAAATAAAAATGGGTCCATCTAAATTCAATGCTATATGATGCAGGTCACTCATGCAAATATCTTGAAATACGTGCCATTCATATGTTAACACCATTTTACTGCCAATCAATTGTAATGGCACAAATATATTTACTATGCATGCAGAAAATATTTTACAGACTCCCAAGTAAACAATATTTTTTTTCTTTGCTTTGTAGCCCCATCAATTTTTAAAGCAGGAATATTTTGGGATACAAATGCTAAGGTCAAATTTCTGCCATTTAAAAGTCAATTCATACACAAACAGACTGCATTCTTAGCATGTTATTTCCTTTCTGTATATATTTTACTGTCTAAGTTAGTCCAGCAGCCAGAGAGGCTGGGGTGAGATAAATCTAGCTAATGCATCTAAAGGTTGATGTAGGCTGGTCTGAGTTATTGCAAAACATTCCCAAATGTGCTGCAATCAAGCAGAAGTTACCCTGCTAACATAATTCAAGCAGCATTTAAAATTAAAGTGTAAGGAGGAGTTTTGTAATGTTGTTTGTAGTTTTTTCGGTGTTCTTACATAAGCTAAATATTTCAGAACTATTAAGCAAGATTGTGGTAGATCAAGATCAAATCTGTGGTTGATTATTTTCAATCAAGTGAAACAAATTACCTCTCGGTTTTCTGCATCTTTTCATATGAACATCAGAATTACTAGATTGCATGTGTGATTTCCCCCCCCCCCTCTGCACCCCACATATCCAGAACAATCAACAACTGCAATGAATGTGGAGAGTAATGCAACCTGTACAAACTCAACATCATTTTTTTTTCTCCATTGATATTGATTGATCCCTTAATTCTTATACATAGCCCCGTTTCTATCAAGAAAGGAAATCAATGCTTGCACTATCCCATGCTAAACTCAATCAGTCTAAAGAAAAGACTGTAAACTTTCAGGATCAGTAAGTTTGGCATTTACAAAAGAGCAGTAGATCTCTACATTTCATATGCTGCTCATAACTTCTTCTGTAGCTCATTTCCTCAGAGCTACCACATGAAGTCAGTTATAATGAAAAACCATGCAGAAAGCCAATTCTCACTCTTTATTCCAGAAGAAAATGAGATGTTGTAGAGAGGACTGAGAACACAGAGGATTACTATGCACAGTAATGCTTCCATTTAAGAAAGTCAACTAGAACCAACAGCACAATATTAGCAATACAGTCCTTCAAGTTCTTTGGTTCTATAATCTCCCATGATTTAAAATGGACACCTAACATTAGAGCCATCATTAAAAAGGCACAACAAAGAATGTTCTTCCTGCATCAACTTAGGAAGTTCAGACTGACCCAGGATAGAGTTCTACAGAGGAATTATTGAGTCTGTCATCTGTACTTCTATAAACTGTCTGGTTTGGTACAGCAATTAAACAGGACAGGTACGGACTCCAACAGATAGTTAGAACTGCAGAAAAAACAACTGCAACCAGCCTGTCTTCCATAGAAGACCTGTATATTGTACAGCTCAGAAAGAGGGCTGAGAAAATATCTGCAGATCCTTCACATCCTGGACATAGTGTTTCAACTCCTCCCCTCAGGATGCCCCTATAGGGCACTGCATGCCAAAACAACTAAACACTAGCCCATTTTTTTTCCTTTGTGCCATTACTCCTCTGAACATCTAATCCTCACAGTATTGACTTATGTCTTAGTATATTTATTCATGTTGTATGGCTGTAGTATTATTATTATTATCCTTCTCATTTCCTCTACGACTCCCTTATTGATATCATTATTATGATTATTATTGCTCTGTTGCTTTGCATGTACAAGTGAGAGCTTCTGCAACAGAGAGAAATTCCTTGTGTGTCTAATCACACTTGGAGAAATAAAGTATCATATTCATTCATTCATTTTGCTAACAAAATTTGAGTGTCCACATTTATTTATTTATTTTATTTTTATTTTATTTCCAATTTATATACCGCCCTTCTCCCTGAGGACTCAGGGCGGTGTACAGCCAAAATTAAGAACATGAAATACAAATATTAAAAAACAATTAATATATATATAAATTTGGCTCAAAAATTAAAAATCACAAACCAATTAAAACATTTAAAAATTTCTTCTTAAACCAGCCCGGCTTGCTGGAAAAAGTGGGTTTTAAGGGCACGGCGGAAGGCACTGAGGTCTTGGATTCTCCTTATCTCTGGGGGCAACTGATTCCAGAGGGTAGGTGCCCCTACAGAGAAGGCCCTCCCCCTGGGGGTCACCAGCCTACATTGTTTGGTTGATGGCACCCTGAGGAGGCCCTCTCTGTGGGAGCGCACGGGTCGATGGGAGGTCGTCGGTAGCAGCAGGCGGTCTCGAAGATAACTAGGCCCTATGCCATGGAGCGCTTTAAAGGTGATGACCAACACCTTGAAGCGCACCCGGAAGACCACCGGGAGCCACATACATTACAGTCCTGGGATTTTTTTTAAAAAAAATGCATACGTCTTGTATTTTCCCCCGCATTACCTGCAACACTTCATGGAATCTAAGCTAGAAGTGTTTTCCAGGCTATCCAATCTAAACTAAGATCAGCATGGGAAATCCAAAGTTAGAGCACACATCCCCCTCTCAATGCTCAGATGTTCCTCTTGAAGATCTCTAGGGGAAAAACCCATTCTAATAAAAGGGTTCCATTGCAAGATATGCCTAAACAATGGTGTCCATTACAGCAGAGATTTAATCCTGATCTCTGAGCAGTGGCATCTACAGGGTCTTTCTACTTTTGTCAAATGACAAAACAGAACTTTGCAAACTCCTACTGCTTTGTGACATCACAACTCATGTAGATAAGGGATGGGGCTTGTATCACAAGAGTAAAATATTGTTTATGTCACCCTAATCTCCCTTGTTCCCCTCTGAAGACACTGCTCTCTCTGGGGGAGAAGTGCATCTGCCCAATGCATGTTAGATATGGCCCCAAAAGCTAATCCCAATTCCCTTAAAGTTTTCTCCTCTCCATGCTAGCCAACCCACCACTAGACTTCCCACCTGTTTTCCATTGCACTTCCCTTCCCCACTAATCTCCTTCTGCCTTTCCAGCATTACCTTCCTTTTCTTCCTCCACTTTTCCTAATCCTTTCTAGCCTCCCCAAACTGTCTTGCTCCAATCCCTACCTACTTCTCCCTACTTCATATTTTCCACTTCCTACCATCACTTTTGTAGCACTTTTAATTTGCTTTTGAACCTTTGATTTATTCAAAACATAAAAATCCAAAAAAGTACAGCATCTCAGTGTCCAGGGATCCTTTTCCTTCCTTGCACTAATTAGATTTTTGCAAAGCACCAAAGACCTGGCTACTTTCCCAGCAGGTATGTCAGGTGAGTAGATGAGTTCTGTTGTTTATAATGTAATATTTTCAAAGAGTGGGGTTTTTTGTTTCTTCTTAGAGACCAGGTGTTACATATGATAGGGTTTCTGTTTTAATCTGCGTTAAGACACCCAGTCATGTATGAAATGAAATGAAATATATGAAATATAAATCATACAAATACAATAAAAGAAAGAAAGAAAGAAAGAAAGAAAGAAAGAAAGAAAGAAAGAAAAGAAAGAAAGAAAGAAAGAAAGAAAGAAAGGAATGAGGAAGAAAGAAAGAAAGAAAGAAAGAAAGAAAGAAAGAAAGAAAAGAAAGAAAGAAAGAAAGAAAGAAAGAAAGAAAGAAAGAAAGAAAGAAAGAAAAAAAATTCCTTTCCCCCTTTTTTGGCTTTCCTTTCCTCTTCTTGCAGTCTGAAATTAGATTACCAGCACAAATTGTTATAGCACCATCTATCAGTGAATAAAGAAACTGTCTCTTTCTCTTACTGCCAGTACTGTACTGCACATGGTTAGACGTGGATGATCTATAGAAAGAGATTGAGAGAACAAAAACTACCGAAATAATGCAAAGCTTCAAACTGGTGGTTCATTTTGATGATGCATAAACTGAAGCACCTCCAAAGCTGCTTTGCAAAACTATAATCCCCTCCTCTTAGAAAGATAGCTACTGCACTGTTTCATATTGCACTTGTTTCCAAGCTGGACTCCAACTTATTCAGGTGACCTGCATTATCACTATATTTCATCAAATCTGACAATGTCATCTTTGCATATATCTTGTATAGGTGAAATACAGCACACTCTGTAAGTTTATAAACACATACCTTAGAAACAAGTAAAAAATATTAAAATGATATTAACCATAAAATGTCCATCATCTCCAAATAACTTTGGAAAATACCTTTGCCTGAAAAGTAGGAAAATATCTGCCCATTAGAGGCATACTATTTATGCGCTTTTCAGCTTTTGCTAAACTGGCCACTTTTACACTAGAGAAAAACATGCATGAAAACCTGATCTGATCTGGATCACGATTACATGCTCAATTATTGGTTAAACTCTTGATTATTAATCAATGCAGACTTCTTCTACCATTTATTTTGCATGTTGTCTAGAACTACCCTAGAATCTGAGAAACATAATATATGAACAACTGTTTCAGGAACTGGGTATGGCTAGTCTAGTGAAAAGAAGGACTAGGGGTGACATGATAGCAGTGTTCCAATATTTGAGGGGCTGCCACAAAGAAGAGAGGAGGGGTCAACCTGTTTCCCAAAGTATCAGAAGGCAAGACTAGAATCTATGGATGGAAATTAATAATCAAAGAGAGAAGCAACCTAGGACTAAAGAGAAATTTCCTAACAGTGAGAACAATTAACCACTGGAATGGCTTGCCTTTAGAAGTTGTGAGTGCCCCATTATTGGAGGCTTTTAAGAAGAGACTGGACAGCCACTTGTCGGAAATGATATAGGGTCTCTTGCGTGAGCAGGGGGTTGGACTAGAAGACCTCCAAGGTCCCTTCCAACTCAGTT